AATATATATATAATTCTATGTAATATAATTCTAAATAATTATATATAAATATTATTAATATATATAATATAGAATATGTATATATATATATATATAATTCTATATATCTGTAATAATATATATATATATATAGAATTATAAATTATAAATATTATTAGTATATAATATAGAATATGTATATATTTATAATTCTATATTTATATATAGAAAGGAAGGCATGGCTTACTTGGATAAGGTAATCCCCTTTTCGAAGGCCGGCCAGATCCGCCACTCCTCCTTGATCGACGTCGTCCAGGTACTGCAAGGCAGGGTATCTGGCTGATGGCGTCAGCTCCATCAAAGGCGAGGTTGCCTTGGCGCCTCTTAACACGAATCCGAAACCCTTTCTGGAACGATGCAGCACCACGGTACGAGGCTCGGACGTAACTCTAATAGAAAAATGGGATAATTATTCGTTCCTATTCGAGAACATATTCGTTTCTTCTCTTCAAGGAAGTGTAACATGAACCACTCACGGTTTCTTCAATCTGGGAGCGGTAGCGAAATACTTGTGTTGCGATTCCCTACGACCCAACACCCTTGGGTTGCGGCCGTCCCTCGCAGGCTGAGGACCCAACGGAATGTTGGTGTGGCGAAGCCTGACCTCTTGCACGCAGTGGGCCGGGAAGAGGCCCGTCCCCTGTCCACGGAGAACACCCTCGAGAAGGCCGCAATCGGTCGCCCCGGTCACTGTCCAAATCGCAGAAAGAAACGAACACCGATAGAACACCCTCTTCCCTTCCCCCTTTTTTTTTTTCTATCGTTTATCGAATTTACACGAGTTCCCTCGTAAAAAAGAGAAATCAACGATCGCTCGTTTTTCCTTTCTTTATCGGCTACTCGATACTCGAGATACTGTGAAGGACGGTGGAAATGGAGAGGCGGTTAGGGGAACTCGTAGAGAGAAGATAATAATCGGTGTCAAATACCTTCCAAGATATCTCCTTGATTGATATTCAGATGGCCTAGTATCCCGCTGTTATAACTCTCGACGCAGACAACCGTGGTCCCCGGTATCGATAGGGAATTGGTAGTGTCCGACTGCGAGGTCCCCACCCCTGAACTATCGCTAATCACGTCGGAAGCTGTGTCGCCGAGACTCTTGTCTAAAAAAAAATTCACGGAACAAGGGTGGTCCGTTTGAAATCTCGCCATTTTACCGTGCGCCTTTTCACAGCGGCGAACGTCATGCAAACGCTATATATATATATATATACTCTTAACGAGGTATAAACACAAGATGGGCTTGAGCTTTTTAGCTCAAACGGTATCCGCCTTTCTTTCTTTTCTTTTTTGTAAAATTGCCCAAATAAATATATACGTGGTGGAGAGAGTCGGCTGGAATGTCCAGGTTATGGTACATTAGCAAAGGCACAGTGTATCTCTTAATTCGTCAATAACAACGAGAGAAACGGTGCAGCATTTCGCGGCTTACCATTTCTGATGGTGATGATGGTTCGACGTTCGAGTCACGCCAAATATACAAATTGTACACCTGTTTCGCTTTCTCTCTTTCTCTCTCTCTTTCTCACAGCGTCGCACAAGGGGGATCACGCGTTATGCTTCGTGTCCCAAGCGCACGTACTAGGATCTCTCTCGAGAGGGGAAAGAAAAATCTTCAACGACGAAGGGTGTGCGCGATTCCGCAAGAAGAACGCATTCTCTCTCTCTCTCTCTCTCTCTCTCTCTCTCTCTCTCTCTCTCTTCCCCTCTTCGTGTATATTCTCTGTGGGCGCGACAGACAGACAGACAGACAGACAAAGAGAGAGAGAGAGAGAGAATATGGAAAAATAAACCTGGTATGCGTATGTATTTATGTATACCTGTGACGATGCTGGCGGAATCTTCACCGG